TTACTTCGCTAAAGTTCAAATGAAATCAAAAATAATAAAATTAAACACCTGACACCAAGTAAGCAAACACGTGTTAAAGTGTTTCATAAATTCCTTAAATGGTAATCATGTTTATTGTGCACTCCTTAATTGATTTATAAGCATTAATGGTGCACTTGAATTGTCGGCAAATTCATAAGTCAGTAACCTATTTTTCTTCGAACTATAGACATGAAACCTCCGAGAACGATCTTAAAGACTTGAATAATTGCATCATAAACGCCTTACAAGAAAGTCACCGAGTGCACTGTCCTAAAAAAAATCAGATAGTACTATAAGTCAATATACTGAAACGCTGCAAGATCAAAGAAGATAAATGAGAAGCAATGATAATGCAAACAGCCACACTCGAAATGAATAAAACTGTTTCGAAGGCAATCAGGAGCGATTTAAAGAAATTTAAAACCGATAATATTAAACTTACTATACAGGAAAATAGCAGCTTAAAAGTTTTACGTAGAAAGCTAACGAATGGGAAATGCGAAATTCAAAAATTAAGAAACAAACAAAATTAAATAATATCACGTAGAGACGAGTTAATACAGGTCGTCGAAGGGTTCTACGAGAAATTATGTGGAAGTAGATGAGAAGATCAAACAGGAATACAAACAGTCATTTTAAAGAAGATCATGAATCAAGGTTCCGAACTAATGTCAGAAATAAAGGTAGATGAGATTCGACAAGCGTTAAGAAAAATGAAAAATCACAAAGTTCCAGAAAAGGATGGAATTGTAATAGAAGCTATCGTAAATGGAGGATATATGCTATTAAATCAATTAAGGAAACTATTTAATCTATGTTTGCATCAAAGAGAGTTGCCCAAAGAATGGAACAATGCTATAATTATCCTTTTACATACATAAGGAGATAGAACGGACCTAGAGAATTATGGACCTATTAGCCTGTTGAACCACTTATACAAGCTCTTCACTAGGTTAGTGACATCAAGATTGGAAAAAAATTAGGATTTCTACTAACCGAGAGAGCAGGCAGGATTCCGATCAAATTATGGTACCAATAATCACCTCCATACAGTAAAGACGCTCATTGAAAAATCTATAGAAAACAACAAACCTCTTGTCCTCAATTTCATAGATTTTCATAAAGCGTTCAACACGATCGAAATAGACAGAATTATAGAAGCAATGAATGACAACAGGATTGACCATAGGTATAGCAAACTTATTTACAAAAATGCCACTATGACTGTTAAGATACACGATAGAACCCGATCAATAAAAATAAAACGTGGGATAAGGCAAGGAGATACATTGTCACCGAAATTATTCATAACAGCATTAGAGTATGTCTTTAAGATAGTCAACCGGGACCACAGAGGAGTAACAATAGATGGCGAAAAACTTAACCATCACCGTTTCGTAGATGACGTTGTCCTTATCACAGATAATTTAGGAGAAAAAACAGATATGTTAAATGAATTGGACTTTGCATGTTCGAAGATGGGAATCAGAATGAACTTGTCCAAAACTAAGTTTATGACAAATATGGTCCCCAATAATCATTTAACTATTCAAAATAAAGTGGAAGAACTGGTGGAGAAATATACGTATTTGGGTCACGAAATAAGAATCAGCAGGGATAACCAAACATGCGAAATCCAAAGACGAATTACTTTAGCGTGGGCAGCCTTTGGAAAACTGCGAGACACACTTAGGGCCAACATACTAATTAGCCTCAAAAGAAAAGTATTTGACCAATGCGTATTACCGGTCATGACCGAATGGGAAGGAAACTATGACTCTAACCAAGACTACGGCTTCGAAATTGAGAGTGGCACAATGACGATGGAATGATCTATGCTGGGAGTGTCGTTGTGGGACCGAATAAGAAACGAAGATCTGCGAAGAAGAACGAGTATTGCTGATGTTGTGGAGCGCATAGCAGAACTAAAATGTAATTGGGCAGACCAGAGGAAGACACACGTTGGGCTGACGACATCAGACGTATCACAAAAAATTGGCAACAAAGAACACAAAATTGCAAAGAATGGGGGAGTTTAAGGGAGGCCTATGTCCAAAAGTGGACGTAATAAAGGCTGGATAAAGATGATGAAGTTATAAATGGTGTTCTTACATTGTCGGTAAAATCTTAAAGTGGCGATTTTAAGATTTTGCTTTTGATTAAGATTTAATTATTAACTTTCCAATAATCGAGTTGTAAAGGCTGTAAAATATATAACATTGCTATGTTCAAGATATAGAGGTCCAATTTAATCTTTCAAGTTATAAAAGAAAAATATGTAACAAAATGGCTTGCAGGGAATCACTGATTATTTTAACTAATAAAGAGTTGGGATTTCGGGTAATGGAGATTTTGGGACTTGATCTTTTTCTCTATAGTCCAGGCTGTGAGGCCGCTCCCGTTGGGAAAATGTTTCTGATTCGGTTTCTTCGCGGATTCCGGTTCAAAAATGTCCCCTTTAAACAAATCTGAAGGGTGCCGGGCGAAATTTTTGGACAGAAATTGTTTAAACAACTTTTTTTAAACAAATTCCAAAAATATTTTTTTTTATCTAGAAAACATTTTTTTAGGTTTTTTTGGGTCATTTTAAACAAAAAAGGTCTCCTGTCATTTTTCTCTAAAGTTGATAGTTTTTGAGTTATAAGCGATTTAAAGTCTGAAAAACGCGAAAATACGCATTTTTGAGGCTTAAAACACATATGTAAATTATTATTTTTGGGGTTACCAAGTGTCTAAATTGAAGTTTAAACATTCAACTTCAAGATTGTGGAGAGTAATCGGGGCTTATTTTAATTTAGACCGTTGTTTTTTAATTGTTAAATATGCGCGTACACTCGATTTTTCAGCCGCCGCGGCGCGGCGCGCTAGTGTGCGCTTCTATCGTACTTATGCATAGTTTACATATACACTTACGCAAAAAAACCCGAACAAATCCTTGAAGTTTATTAACATAGTTTTTTCCATAATTTATTTGTGTAGGTATTAATTATTGTCATTGGGCTAATTAAATAAATCAATCATCGCAATGTAATAACCGTATATAGTTTTTTTTTCTTCCAAATTTGAACAATATAATTATTATTTATTGAGTATTTATTTAATTATATCAATTGTAAATAATATTTTTAAATTATTATTTAAATAATACAATGCAGTAAATATTAATATTAGTAAACTTAATTTTAAATTGCGCGGTGTTTAAAAACAATATACTATCGCAAAAATTCAAGTTTTTACCTGTTTAACAATCGCGCGCTCATACTTAATTTGTTATTACTTAAACGATCATTAGGAAGACTATTGTTTAATGCCCATTAAAAGGGTATTATATTATTAATGTGTTATTAAAAAAATTGTGAATGGATTTAAAATGTCTTTTTCCGTACCTCTTCTTAAATGAAAACTTACCGAAGAAAATTTAGTTTGTATTTTTTGTAATAACATCAACAATATTAAGTTAGTGCAAAAACCTAAAGTAGATTTTTACATAACAATACAAAATGCTGCTCTTCGACGAAAAGACAGTGTGTCTGAAAAATTTAATTTAATCTAGCCAATATACCTTGTACCTCTGACGCACTTTACCAACACTTGTTAAGAGCTTTCGCTAAAACATATATTTGGCGAAATGCCATATATTCCCGCTATCAAACTCTCGATTTTACACAATATGGATATTATATGTCTGATAGTGGTGGGTTGGGAAACCGTGCAAATGCAAAAAGACTTGCAAAACTGCAAGAAAAATCATGTCAACTGTGTACCATTATGGGGATGTGATTTAGATTTTTGTGAAAACAAAGATACTTTTACTGAGTGATATTAGTGTGTTATTTAACAATCTTTTGTACAATTATTTTATGTATAATCCGACAAGCGAGAGCTGGCGGGTGACCTGCTCGAAAATAGAAGAGGAATTATTCTAAGAGAGATAGGAGAGGTACTTAATCGCGATTATACGTATATAGTATAGGTACTTAAACGGTTATACACGATGTACACGATGTACATGTCTTAAACGGTGAACACTTTTCAATTTCTTCTACGCGCAACCCGCCAGCTCTCGCTTGTCGGGTTATAACTATTATTAGACTTTGGACGAAATTTATATTATAACTCAATTGATATAAATAACTATATACTCAATAAATAATAATTATTTGTAAGTATATGTAAACTATGCATAAGTACGATAGAGGCGCACGGTAGCGCGTGGCGCCGCGGCGGCTGAAAAATCGAGTGTACGCGCATACTTAACAATTAAAAAACAACGGTCTAAATTAAAATAAGCCCAGATTACTCTTCACAATCTTGAAGTTGAATGTTTAAACTTTAATTTAGACACTTGGTAACCTCAAAAATAATAATTTACATTATGTGTTTTCAAGCCTCAAAAATGCGTATTTTCGCAGACTTTAAATCGCTTATAACTCAAAAACTATCAACTTTAGAGAAAAATGACAAGAGAATTTTTTTGTTTAAAATGGCCCAAAAAACCTAAAAAAACGTTTTCCAAATTAAAAAAAAATTATTTTTGGACTTTGTTTAAAAAAATTGTTTAAACAATTTCTGCCCAAAAATTTCGCCCGGCACCCTTCAGATTTGTTTAAAGGGGACATTTTTGAACCGGAATCCGCGAAGAAACCAAATCAGAAACATTTTTCCAACGGGAGCGGCCTCACAGCCTGGACTACTATATGTTTAGCTCAGCGAGTGTGTCGAAAAAATATGTTTTGTGACACTTAAGAGATTCTTATTTTACATGGTTATTACACGCAATAGTTTTGCATATTTCACATGGTTTTTGAGCTAACATACGACTTGCTCTCGAATGCCATCATGACAATGATCGTGATAAAATAATGAAATGTAAAAATGAACACCTTTTAAAGTTTTATGTACTTTTTAATTAAATATAAATACATTTTATTTTATTAAATTTTGGTATAATTTAATTAATATATAATGTTTGTTTACAGAATGAAAAACCTCGGAATTTTTGCAGTGTTTACCATTCTATTAATCTATACACAAGCTGATTCTGACGATTTTCCATTATGCAAAGCATGTGGCTGTAGTTTTAATTCCAACAACACTGAAGCTAATGTAACCTGCACGAAGCCAAATACGAACCAAATCCTACAAGATTACTTCTGGATCAAAAATGGAACCAATGACTCGATACCGTATAATCGTGTTGTGATAAACAACGACAAATTTATTAACTTCACTTACGTTTTCCCAAGTTCTCAGTTAGTTTATTTGAATTTGGCGTACAATAGTATATTTAATATTTCCGATAGTATTTTCAAGAACTTACAAAACATGCAGGTGCTCATTCTTAGTTACAACGACTTGGAAATAATCCATCCTGATACCTTTAAGGTGAGGTTTTATAATTTACCCATCTAGGAATAGTTTATGAGTGGTTGTATACGATTACTAAGGACTATAAATATATACAGGGTGTCCCAAATTGGTATTTTTTGCAGGTTATAACTAAAATTTGAGCAAGTAGAAAACAATTAGTAAAGATATCATCATCATCGTCATCATCATCATCATCATCATTCCTTAACCTCTTACATCCACTGTTGGATATAGGTCTCCTCCATGTTCTTCCACTGTTCTCTATCTTGTGCCTTCTATATCCAATTTCCGACTGTTTTTCTCAAGTCGTCCAGCATCTTTTTGGTGGTCTGCCTCGGTGTCTTTTGTCTTCTCTAGGTCTCCATTCTATGAGCCTTTTGGTCCACCTATTATCATTTAAACGTGCTATATGTCCAGCCCATCTCCATTTGTCTTGTGCAATTTTTTCTATGACATCTGTCACTTAAGTCCTCTCTCTCACTATCCTATTTGGTACCATATCTCTTCTAGTTATTCCCAACATTGCTCTTTCCATTTTTCTTTGGGTTACTCTCAATTTATTTCCGGAATGTTTGGAAGTTATTCAGGTTCAGAAGTTATTGTTTCGGAACCATATGCTATTACTGGCAGTATGCATTGGTTGTAAACCTTTTTCTTCAAGCAAATCGGTAGCATTCCTTTTAGAATATCTCGCATCTTGCCAAATGCTGCCCATCCCAAGCCCTTGCGACGCTGGATCTCACAAGTTTGATTGTCTTTTCCTATTCTAATTTCATGCCCTAAATAGATATAGCTAAAGACCTGATGTACTTCGTTCCCATCTACCCTCATAACATCACTTGGAACTAAATTGGTCATGTATTTTGTTTTTTCAAAGTTTATGTTCAGGCCTATTTGTTCTATTGCCTGTTTTAGTTTTTCCATCATTTTTTGAGCTTCATTTAAACTCTCGGCTATAATGACAATATCATCTGCAAAGCGCAAGTGGCTTAAGTATTCACCATCAATATTTATTCCCCTTTTAGCACAATCTAGGCTTTTAAAGGCATTTTAAATGCAGTGAACAGTTGGGGGGAGATGATGTCGCCCTGTCTAATTCCCCGCTCAATTCTATATTTATCGGTAAAGTCATGGAGTTTAACACATGCTGTTGCGTTGTTGTATATATGTTTTATGAAATTTGTATATCTATAGTCTACTCGGCTTTGTTCGTATGCTCCTAATACTGCCGGTAATTCCACGGTATCAAAAGCTTTCTTGAAGTCTATGAAAATCAACGTGAGTGGTTTATTATATTCAACACATTTTTCAATTAGTATTTTAAGTGCTTGTAGGTGGTCATTTGTTCCATAACCTTTCCTAAACCCAGCTTGCTCCTTAGACTGATAGAAATCTAATTTTCGTTCTAAACGTTTTGTGATGATCTTGGTAAACCATTTATAGAGATGTGACAACAGACTTATCGGTCTATAATTCTCTAGGTCTGATATATCTCCTTTTTTGTGTATTAGGATAGTAATTGCATTGTTCCATTTTGTAGGGACAATACCTTGGTTTAGACATAGGTTGAATAGTTCAGTTACTACTTCCAGCAGTTTCTTGCCTCCTACTTTAACAGCTTCTATTACTATTTGGTCACCTCCCGGAGCCTTGTTGTTTTTCATTTCCTTTAGAGTTCGTTAGTAAAGATATCATGACTTATTTTTTCGTTAAAGTAACAATAGCCCAATTAAATCAGCAATAGCTCCCCACATTAGCGAGATACAGGGCGATTATTGAAAAATGTGGAAAACAATAAGGTTATATATATCTTCTTTATTAAGAAATATTTTTAAAAACGTTATTGAAACTTTTGATAGATATATTATGGAAAGCTTCAGTGTCGCACAAAAAAATTTTTTAGTTAATCTTACTATGCAGATATAACACCGACTTTTTTTATATGGGACACCCTATATATTTTAATTATTTTTAATTATTTAATATGACATATTAATATATTTTTTTCAGTGCATTTTAAACATTCATTATAATTTTTTGATTTTTGTAAAATTAATTTCTGGTTGTAAAGTAATTTTTTTATGTAGGGAAATTTGTTATTCCTATGTTTTTCTATATAAGTTGATTGATCATATTTCTTGTAAATAAAACTGTAAAGGATTAATATATATATATTTACATATATATATATATATATATATAATATATATATATATATTTACATATATATATATATATATATATATATATATATATATATATATAATATATATATATATATATATATATATATATATATATATATTTTATAGGATCCAACTTGTAAATACAATACATTTTGGAGAAGGCTATTTGCCGTATTCCCGTTCTCCTCCGCCAATCCTCCCGATCCAAGGCATGCCCTTCCTCCAAACCTTTCGATTCCATTGCTCTTCTAATTCCTTCATCCCATGAGCGTCGAGGTCTACCTCTTTTTCTTCTGCCAAGGGGCTTCCATCTGTGAAGTTTTTGGAGCCATTCTCAATAGGTATCCAAACCATTTTAAACTTCTTCTTTCTATTCTGTCAATGACCGTTTCTGTAGCATTAATGTTATTTCTTATAGATTCGTTGGTCTTCCTTTCCAGCCTTGATGTTCTAGCACTTTTCAAATAATCCATTTCAGCTGTCAACAATCATCTCTTCACGTCTGCATTAATTGTTCATACTTCAGAGCCATAACAAAGAATTGATTCAACCATGGTTTGCCCTATTCTTTTTTTGTTCCTTTTGGAAATATTGCGATCCCACCATAAGGACTTCAGACATCTTACCATTTTACTTCCCTGATAATTTCGGTGTTTAATTTAGGTTTCTTCCAAGCCGTTCTTATCAATGAGTGCACCTAAATATTCAATTTTTCCACTTGTTTGATTTCTACGTCCTCATCTATCAACACTTCAAACCTTGCATCTGAATTGATAACTAAATATTCTGTTTTCTTCATGCTGACTTGTAACCCCCATTTTACATATTCTCTGTATAGAAGCTTTATCATAAATTCTAGATCATAAGAATCTTGACTAGGACGACTTGGTCATCCGCAAAGTTCAAGGAGAACAGTACGTCATTTCCTATGGGGATTCCCCCATTCCCTGGCGGTTTTTACAATTTTGGAGGGTTGCCTCAATATATAAATTAAATAGTAAGGGTGACATACTGCATGCTTGTCTTAGTCCTTTAGTTACTTTTATTGGCTCTAATAGTCTATTTCCGATTTTTAGGTAAGTAGTGTTATCCCTGTATACTTTTGTGATTATTCCTGGAAGGAACCTCTATTATTTTTTCTATTAATTGTTGAAGTATAAACAGGTTATCAGTGCAAGATCTACCAGGTGTAAATCCACTTTGGTCTTCGCTAATTGGATGTCCTACATCATCTTGTATTTTTCCATTTATTATCTTTCAAAACAATCTCCCGAAAGTAGGTAAGACACTTACTCCACTGTAGCAGTTAGGATCTTTTCGATTACTCTTTTTAAATATGGTCACTTGGTGAGCTACTTTTCCATTCAGATGGTACTTTAATTTGTTGGCGCCATTGATTGATTAGAAAAGTTATTTGTTCTATTAGGAGTGGACCTCCTGCTTTAAGTAACTTTACAGCTATATTGCCAGGTCCAGGAGATCGTCCATTTATTATTTTAATTAACACAGTACGGACCTCGTTGGTAGTAGTATTAATGTTATTATTTGTTTGTCTCTCTTTTTTGAGTTTGAATAAACTTTTATAGAGATTTTCTCACTTTTCTACAGGAATTAAGTTGCTTAGGAGTTATGGGTGTTTTTCTTTAGATTAGTGATAGTTTTCTATGCTTTCGTAGTCTGAAAACCACCAATTAAATGTTCAACTTGGACAAATTTTTGTTACCAGAAATTGTTTTTTGCTTCTTTTATTTTATTGTGTACTTTTCCGTATTTTCTTTGATATGTTATTCTATTGCTAGATGTTTTATTTGTTAGCCATTTCTTATATATTTTGTTTTTTACTTGTATCATTTCTTTTACGTTTTCTGTCATCCATGGTGGTTTGTGGTATTTTTGTCGTTGTTCTCTATTCCTAATACTTCATAAGTAATTTTTTTATTGTCGTTTTGAGGTTGTTGTATTCTTGTTCTACATCCATATTTCTTTCCATCTCATTTAGTTCTTTTTCTTATCTAGATTGGAAAATATGTTTAATACTTGGTTGGAATAAAAGGTACAATTTATATTTCTCCGTTTTGTGCTGTGTAGTGTTGTTTCGCTTACTTTCGGTGTTCTGTTGGTAGTATTGTTTAAAGGTACACAAAAGATTAGCTAAAAGAAAGTAATGATCTGTCCCACAGTTAGATCCTATTGTTACTCTGTAGTCTTGGCACTTAAATTTTGTTTTCTGTCTCATTATTATATAGTTTATGATCGACTTCTGTTGTAGTAAAGATCGTTCCCAAGTGTATTTATGACTATCTTTATGTTGGAATTGGGTGTTTATTATTTTTAAACCAAAAAGTTGACAGAACTCAATTAAGCTGTCCCCTGAACCATTTTTTTTTATTTCTTTGTGCTGTCCCACCACATCATCATCTATTTGAGATGCTACTCTGGCATTTAGGTCTCCTAACAGTATTATTTCTTGATGATTTTTTATTTTATCACAGATGTTTGATAACTCTTCATAAAAGGAATCTTTCACTTGTTGATTTGAATCGGCGCATAGGCTCCAACAACTATTGTTTCGATCCCGTACAATGTGACAGTTATTGTCAGAATTCTTTCAGAGATGTACGCAAAGTCTTTTATATATTTTTTTATAAGAATTGAGACCCCTGATTTAGCGTGTACGTGTATCTCTACTCCTGACCATATATGAATGTAGTCTTTAATCTGTTCATTTCATTTTACTTTATTTTTGGTTTCAGAGAGCACTATGATGTCTATTTTTCGCTTCGTTATTTCAGTTAAAATTTCCATTGTCTTGTGAGGCATGTCATGAGTGTTCCAAGTACCAATTTTCTTTGCTAGGTGTCGTCGTCGTAAGTTTCCGTCCATATTCCGAGGCTCGGCGTTAGAATTTTTAGTCAAAAGAGTTTTTTTCCAGATAATGAGGGACTGGACCGTCGCTCCAACTCCCAAGCTTGGAGGACCAGTATTTTCTGTTGGGGTTTCTTCACTTAGTCAACATGTTCCAGTTTTAAGGCGCCAGAAACTCGTCTTTCATACTCTCTCCGCTGCTATATAACGCACATCCATTGTACGCCATATACCCAGTGGTTACACGTCGAGTTCTGTTTCTAGATCCCCCAACTTTTTCGTTGGAAAACGAGTGGACATTTCTCAAATTTTTTTGCAATATAAGAGTCGACGTCTCATATTACTTCCGAAGTCCATAACTAGCCTTTAACCACCGACTAGTAGTCATAAACGAATGTTTAATAACAAACATGTTTATGAGTTTTTACGTTTATGAGAAATATAAAAAATTATAAATTAACCCTAATATTTTGTACATCATAATTATAAGAAAATGAATAAAATTCCATTGGAACTTCACCTGTTGTAGGGTTTATATTTACCAGAGAGATTAATGCCCTTAAAAAGTCTTAGAGAATTAAGGCTGGACCACAACAAAATCCATACACTTAACCAAGATACTTTTGAACATACAACAGATATTCAAATTTTGGATTTAAGCTATAATCCGTTTGAAGTAATTGATCACCATACTCTTCTAGCCATCAACAATTTATTATATCTAAAGGTAAGCGTAATTACTTGTTTTTCTTATTTGTTTTCAATTTAGATATATTTAATAAAAAGACTGACGGAAGAAACTCTCTTGGTTGAGGAATTTGCGGCAGTGGACAGATTTGACAGCGGACCAATTGCTTCACGTAGCCCAAGACCGAGATCAGTATAATAATGTTATAAGCATGGTAGTCGCCGACGTTCCGTAGGGATATGGCACTCTAAGAAGAAGAATAAAAAGACTAATATGTTTTTGTACATACTTATGACAAATCAAAGAATGGAAAAAGGAAAGTATTTGTAAAGTGTGTATACATTTATTTCCTAGCTAAACACTTTCAGCTAACCAAGATATCTTTAGAGCTATGATCAAGTATTTACAGTATCACTACTAGGAGAGATCTCATTTGGTAAAAAGTTACAAAAAATTTTCTTTTTAAGCTGGTTCTACACTAGTTTTTTCCCGAACGAGGCATGACCACGGTCGTGAAATTATTAAGATTCGTATACCACGAGTGTGTCTCTTGCTCGTGATTCACTACCCTTGTCAACGCAGCTTAAGCTTGATCGGCACGAAATATATTTCGATACTCACGCCTATTTTAAATAAAAACTCAGTTATTTTGAAATAACTATGGGTGAAACTATGGGTTATGAGTAAATTATCGGATGTTTAAGTGCTAATTATTATGTCATTTTCAGGAATTGTATCTTCAAAATACTGAAATCACAACCTTGCCTGACAACATGTTGCATACACCAAAATATCTAAGGATTTTAGATTTATCAGGAAACCACGGCATTGAAAAAATACCGGAAACTTTGTATCAAGCTAGAAGTCTAGAAAATTTGTACCTAAATAACACTGGATTTGTCAACTTAACAGAGAAAAAGTAAGATTATATTATTAGTTGTAATTTTTTGTACTAAAAAAGGTCATTACTAGGCGAGGGCCGATAATTTTTGGCGATTTGAGATCGGGAAGCGAAAGGGTGGAAGGGTGAGTTTTTAAGGGTAAAACACTCGGTTAATTATGATTTTTGGCAATAAAAAAAGTTAAATAGAGAGTTATACAAAAAAAAAGATCTACAACTTTTATATGGATACATTTTTTTTCGCAAAAACTCAAAATTTATGTAAAAAATTCAAATAACCGAATTTTTGGTATTTATTTTTATCTTCGCAAAAATTTTTTCCACGAAATTTCCTAAAAACTTACATTTTTATGTCTGAGAAATACACTGTAATTTTTTTGATTTAAAATATTTATTTTTTCTCCTTATTTTAATTTAATATCGAAAAAATGCCCTTTTTTTCAATCGAAAACTCTCACATCATCCTATCTGTTTTTTTTAGTCTTCGTATTTCTACTTTACTCTTAAATTTCTACTTTTTGATGGAATAAAAAATATACGTTACTATGGCGAATTTTCTCAGAAAATTAAAAATAAGAAACGAATAAATTCGAATTCAAAAAATTGTTTAATCAATATATAACATTTTGATTATTTATTAAAATTTACAATATAGATATACATATTCGAAAAAAATTATTTACATTAAAAAACCAAAAAATTTCAAATTATTGAAACAGAAATTGCAAAAATCATGGGAAAATAATTGATTTTCTGAATATTTAAGATTGGATTTAAAGAAGATTTTATCTAAAAATTGTAATCGTTGCAATTTTTTTCAGTAATATCAAATTCTTATTACATTTATGTTTTAGACAATCTAATAATAAATAAAGTAATTATATAAATAATTAAATTTCTAAGGCTTTTCATATTTTAAGCGACCCCTTTATCTTTTAAATCTTTCCTTATAAAAACTAGGCATACAGGCAGTATAATAATGTGCTTTTATTGCGACTAAATCAGGCACACTTCTCAAACAAGTTGAAATGTTTTTATCGAAATAATTTAATGTATTTTGTTTTTGAATAGGTGGTAATATGTTTCTCTTTTATCGTTATTTTGAACAAATAGATTTTTTTCAAATGAAATATTACCCAAAACTCTACCGTAGAGAAAGTAAGAAGAATTGAAATTAAATGTAAGAGCGTCTTTATTTATTCAATTCAAAAATGGTGGAGGCCAATATTTGTAAATTTTTGGACAGTATTATTGTTTATTGCTGGAAAATTGATCACAAACGTAACAAATCTTAAATGCCGCAGTTAGAATTTAAATCATATATTGCCCACATAATGTCCATAGTCCATAATGTTTCATTGAAAGTCATTCCCAAAAATAACCTACTTAAACTTCATAAATTTTTTAATGAAAAAATTTGAAAAATAAAATTTAATGGTATTTACCAGTGGTGCATAAACGCACCAGTCGTTTTTCTGTACAAGAAACAAATTGATACACACCATTTCCATTTTAGCGGATTCCCAGATCTGCCATCTCTTCAAGTACTTCATCTGTGTAGAAACGAGCATCTACATCGCCTTGCAAGATTCGCTTTAGCTGGCTTAACAAATTTGACAGATCTGAGACTTTGCGATAATATTGACTTAACTACCATAGACGATTTTGCTTTCGCCAAACCGACTAATATTAGTGGCGGTGTTATCTGGCCACCTCTTAAAAAGGTAAGTCCTTGAGTAAAACAAAATTACTTTTATTTTGTATTTAAATTCGTGTATTGACTATACTATAACTTTTCGTTTAAGACGTGTAGCCATATTTTTCCAATATTAAAAATAGACAAATATTGCAAAATACTATAATAATAAAAAAACTGAAGTCAATTGTATTAAACAAGAATTTTCAAAAAATATGGAAGAGAATGTTTTCTTATTAAGCTTCGATATAGTTATTTAGCTAATTTCGATATGATTGATGTTTCTATATATTTGAAGTTCTCTAAAAACGAAGACCTGGATTCAGATTACTCTATAAGTCTATACTGTATGTATCGCATATTGACCCTGCATAGGGGTCTTCATGTACAACTTCTTATGCCATATCCGCAAATATTATCGAGTAGCTGTAACTGCATTTATAAGAAAGATTCCGAATGGAGTAATACTGTATTGTACCATAGTATATCAAAATAATGCTCATATTTCAAAAACTACACCGTAACTGTTACAATTTTATTTGCCGCATTGGCTTTTAAGTTCCTATAATTGTGCAGCTGGATATTACGAGCTTCTTCACAAATCAGTTGGCCCAACGTTAGATTGATAAGAAAATTAAATTTTAGAGAACACTGAATAATAACAAATTAAAAAAAAAACGCATAAAATATGTACTATTAACAAAAAAATGTGATTTTATCGAGTTACATCCCCTTTATTTCTAATGACATCCACAATTCTTTGAGGCATAGTTTTTAAGTTCTGACAAAATTCTAATGTAAACGAATTCCATATTTCTTGCAGTTTTTCCTTCAATTCGTTGACGGACCTGGCAGGATGTTTTCTCAAAGCTTTTTTCATTTCGCGCTACAAAATCTCTATCGGGGACAAGTCGGTACTGTTAGAAACCCATTCCAGAAGTGGTATGATATGGTCTTAAATCTATTTTAAACTCTTTTTTGAGATATAATAACCTGCGCCGTTTTGTTATAAGAAAAAATCTTCCGCTGATGTTCAACGGTGTTCCATAATCGGTAAAAGAGATTTTTCTAAAATATTCAAATATTTGTCCGTGTCTACAATCCCCTCGATACGATGTAACTTTCTCACACCTTAAGACGACATGGTACCCCAAATCATGACAGATTCAGGAAAATTTGACTTTTCTCTTCAGACGGTTGGGATGGAAAGCTTCATTTTTTGTGCGAATAACGCTAATCCTACTGTCTCCAACATACACTTCAAATCTAGACTCATCGCTCCATTGTATTGAATCCCATTGCGACTGAGTCCAATCTTTAAGCTCTTTTGACCATCCTAGTCTATTTTTCTTTTATTGTAATATTAAAAGTGGCTTTTTCCTAACCTAAAATAAAATGAAATTTATTAAAAACAATTCGTACTAATCCACAAGGAAACTAAGTACCTGTAGATGGCTGTATACCACGTATCACAAAAAATTTATTAAAATCCTTTATAAAAGGTATATATTAAAAAACCCAATCGGGCTATATCACAACAACAAAACGTTTTCTGAATCCATATTCCATCATCAGTGTCCTTAAAAATGAAAAAAACCAATTTAATTAAGAAGAACGTGAAATTTAAATGTTGACCAAGGTTAATACAAAATGTGGTTAATACGTACTGGGTGTACATGTTTTGAGCCACTAAATATTTGGGTAAAAACCCGTTAAAAGTTATTGGTTTAAATCATGAATGTGTTGCTTGTGTGAGTCCATTTCAAATAGGTAAAGAAATAATAAATAAGACTTACTCACAATCAATTTAATTTAACTATCAGACGACCGGTTTCGCTTTCTACAATATGCAAAGCATCCTCAGGTCTCGATACAAAGTTAAACAAATGCTGAAATACTAAAAACCCATATTAGGGTGTTGTCTAATAACGATAAACAAAGTAGATGTAAATTACAATAATTATGCCAATATTACATGTCTGTGATTTTATTTAAAAGAGTAAGTTGAATAAAAAGTATAAAAGTTTTAAAAAGTTCAAACAGACAAGGTAAGGCCCACAAATTGTTATAAAATAGTCTCTTCGATTGTAATAAATTAATAAATGAGCAAATAAATAAAATAAACATTACTTACATGCCGGTACTCTATTAATTGATGGATGGTAGAACATGGTTGAAACTACTATGTATTGTTGAATGGAGAACTCAATTCTATTATTGCAGTTGTTTGAAAGTAAACGGAAAGTTCTTGAGGAGATAAATTTGATCCAATGAAGAAGAGATATGTGTGTGATTGTTTGTTAAATGAAAGTGATGTAATATACCATTGTGTTATTAAAAGTTATTTATACTTATTCGAGAGACATATTTATGAAATGTGTGTTATTTATTGAGTAATTGTTTTATGAAGGTGACAGTTTTATGACAATGAATAAGTTTAGATGTAAAAATTGTGTGGGTGTGCAATTATTTTCCAACTTGTAGTTATCAAATTCCTTTGATAAAGTTCTATTGGCAATTAGTAAATTATTGAAAAGTCAAGTAAATAAAATATTAAAATACAAACAATTAAGGACAATTTAAACACACTAAAACAGAAAAGACTTAGAAGGGACGAAACAAACATTGAATTTAAAAGGGGGAAGGACTACATCTCAGTCTTGGCATAAAACCACAGACATGTAATATTGGCATAATTATTGTAATTTACAACATCTACTTTGTTTATCGTTATTAGACAACACCCTAATATGGGTTTTTATTATTTCAGCATTTGTTTAACTTTGTATCGAGACCTGAGGATGCTTTGCATATTGTAGAAAGCGAAACCGGTCGTCTGATAGTTAAATTAAATTGATTGTGAGTAAGTCTTATTTATTATTTCTTTACCTATTATTGGTTTAAATTTATTTTACATTATTGGATCTTATATGTTAAGATGTTAAAGTTACCAGTGGATTTAATAACATGGCAACGTAGAATTCTACATAAGGTTGCTGGTTCTGAGACATTTAGCATGTTAGCATTTCGCGGCATTATTTTGAAGAAATTAGGGGTAAATAGATCTAGAGTTTCATTACGTTAGAAAAAAATAAAAAACAAAATTCTATTTTAAAGAGACTCTAAATATTTCTAAACGTTTTGATTTGTATATCGAGTGGTTGCAAAAGAATATGCTATCTCTTCTACTGCAACATTAAGACAGTAACGTGATATATTCAACAGTGAATTTAACACGGTTTTTTAAACCAAAAAAAGACCAATATATCTTATGTCATTTTTACCAAAATACTCACGACGACAAAACAGCAGAGATAGATCTGAAGTACACTAACCACATTACTAATACTTGTAGGACAACCTTAAGAACTATAATTGCAAAATACAAACTGTCTCATATGGCCTTGGAACTATTTTTATGTTCTAAGCATATGACTATGACAGCTTCAAGAGGACCATGACAAACTTCAGGCCACTTAACGAATATAGGTTAAGCACACTGTAACATGTAAGATTTCAAGTAAAACTTAAAAAGAATAAAAGTATATTATTTCATAATAACAAACATAAGACATGGTGTCAGGTAATTAAATAGATGATAAATAAAAATCTTAATATGGAGAGTAGCTTAAAGCCGCCGAAAAATCTGGTGTTTGACCGCAATGTCCACGTGAATTTGGATAATTTTTTAAGAAGCTTGGACATTTATTTGAAGGCGACCGGTTTGAGCGAAAAAGACGATGAAACCAAGAGTAGAGATGATAAAGAAATGTTGGTAACAGTACATTCTCTCCAGATAGATTTGCCCATATCTGAAGAGAGATTAAAAGAACTACAGATTGCAACTAAAAATGACCCAACTTTGTCTACAGTTAAAAACTTTCTAAGTAATGGTTGGCCACAAAATTCTCAAAATTTTAATTCTGAATTAAATTCTTAAAAAAATTTAAAATTTAAAATTTAAAAATTTAAAATGATTTATATGAAAAAAAAATAACTTAATATTTTATGATGACAGACTAGTGGTTCCCAAAAGTTTACAAAGCCTTATGCTTAATAAATTACATATTGCACACTTGGGAATGGAAAGAACTAAGTCAAGAGCCGGGAAAATTTTTTACTGGTTAGGTATGACCACAGATATTGAAAATTATATTTCAAAATGTAATACTTGTCTTAAATTTTCACGGAAACCAACCAAAGAACCTTTACTTCCACATGCTAGGCCTAACATATCTTTTCATAAAGTTGGATGTGATATTTTAACTTTTGGTGGTAGAGATTATTTGGTAGTAGTGGATTACTACACGAATTGGATTGAGCTAGAAAAGTTAGAGTCTAAAACGTCTGGCGATGTGATTTATAAATTAAAACAAATATTTTCAACTTTTGGTATACCTATGATTTTGATTGCTGACATTTAATAGTGCCGAATGTCACAGTTTTGCCACAGAATAATAAACAATCAGAAGGGCCACTCTCAGATGCCGCCTTTGAAGTTTTTCAGCACGCGCGCCATGTTTTAGGAGGACACAAACATATGATTTGTGAGGTTATGCAATTGTTTACATTTATGTTTAATTATATTATATTTATGTTATTATATTTAAAACTGTTAATATAATTGTATAGTATGTCTATGATTGCCGTAAGTCAAATAAACCTGGTTTTTTTTCCATGCACACCACATAAACAACACTGGTTCCCTTTAAACCCTCGTAAAACATGGCGGAATGTCTTCTCGAAGGAGATGCGCGTACTTAATTTTCCGTGGAGAGTGGGCATTCTGTTTGTTTATTATTCTGTGGTTTTGCTAAAGATTGGGAATTTAAAATTCAAACATCAAGTCCGTTATATCCAAAATCTAATGGTCTTGAAGAAAGGGCAGTAGGTATATGTAAAAATATTTTGAGAAAAAGTCTAGAATCAAATACAGACGTTTTTAAAGCGTTATTAGAATATAGGAGCACTCCTTTAGCAGGGTGCAATATTTCGCCTGCAGAATTGGTTTTTAAGAAACAGTTGCGTTGTATCCTTCCCCTTTCAGGTAAATTTTTGGAACCATCCTTGAATAGTGAGTCACAGAAACTAGCTGAAAAAAGGAACAAGGATAAGATTCATTACGATCAAAGTTCGAAAGTTAGGTCAGAATTTAAGGTAGGTAATAGTGTAATAATCAGGTAGAAAAGGAGAAACACTGGATACCAGTGGAAATTGTAGGAAAATGTGATGCTCCTAGGTCGTATATGGTTCGGGATAACTTTGGCAGGGTAACGAGACGAAATACTTCATTTTAAGACCATCACCAAATGAATGTCCTCCCATTCAGAAAGAATATATGTATCCACTCATTGGGTCTGAACCTAGCTCCTCACAAACAAGGTATATTAAAAATAATAACAATAATAACTTTAAGCCTGAGATTTGTTCAAATGAACAAACTGTTTCAACCAAAATTGTGTCTAGTAAGTTGAATTGTAACAGTAACCTGAATTTAGGTATAAATAGTAAGACTAAAGCTAGGTATAAAGAAATAGCTAGGTATAAAGATTAGGTATAAGTTAGACATAGCTTTCATAGATGTATTCCTAGAGCACAGTCAGAATAGTTATTTTTGTTTCTCAGTTGTAGTTTTGTTAAAAAAGTGTATAAGGGGAAGATGTCTCATATGGCCTTGGAACTACTTTTATGTTCTAAGCATATGACTATGCCAGCTTCAAGAGAACCATGACCAACTTCAGGCCACTTAACGAATATGGGTTAAGCACATTGTAATATGTAAGATATAAAGTAAAACTTAAAAAGAATAAAAGTATATTATTTCATAATAACAAACATAAGACCCAAACATTATTATTTCTATTTTGAGAACGATGTAGAGGTGAAAATTAAAACGTCAATAAATTAATTTTAAACTTCAATTGTGGCTTATTCCCAATAGTAATTAATCTAAATATAACTTTATATTATTGTTGTTTTTTCAGCTTTATATTGGAAATAACAAATTGTCTTATATAGACAGCGACATCGTGGCCCGTTGGGACTCTTTGACCGAATTAGACATTAGAGACAATCCATGGACTTGTGATTGTGAAAACCAATGGCTAATAGACGATTTAATGCCTATTTACATTAAACTTGATGAAAATGCCGCTAAGCAGGTTATGTAAGTAATTATGTCTTTCTGTATAAAGTCTCATTCATATTTCTGTTATTGTGATGGTACTCTCAGGTAACCAGCGATCCACAATTATTTTCATCAAAGCTATTCGAGCAAAAAATACGTATGTCTTGTTTTAATCTGAATTTGTATCATTGGTTCATAAATTAATCTTAATTAACATTGTAAAACATAAAAAAATCATCCGATACCTTTAATACATAACTTTAATCAAAAATTAACCAAATTATAAGTAACAATAGTAAATAAGATCAAAGAATATGTTGTTATGTCCATCACCAACATTTCTTCATAACGTAACTCTTCTTCTCATTGAGTCTATAACATTTTTAGGACTAGTACCCAAAGAGTATTATTTAATTCTTTAATATGATTCTCTATTCTTTGTCTAAGATCTTCAAAATATGCTAAAGGAGTTTTAAAAATCGAATTCTTTAAATGTAGCCACAAACAGAAATCGCGGGGAGTCAAATTACAGGATCGAGGGGGGAATATAATAGGCGTATTTAAACTTTTGACCTTATTGACGAAAAAATCCATATTCAAATTTAAATTTTGCCTGGTGACTTTAGAAAGTCGCCAGGACTAGACGGAATAACCAACGAGCTTCTAAAACACGGAGGAGAAAGTATAACCCTAGAGATGACAAAACTTATACAAAAACTAATATTTCACTGTAAGATACCAGACGCATAGAGAAACAGCATAATGATACCAATGTTCAAGAAAGGAGATCAAGAAGACCCCAACAATTATAGAGGTATAAATTTACTGAACACCGCACTTAAGCTTACCACAAAGGTACTAACCAAGAAAATCAATAAACTAACAACTTTATCAGATGAACAACAAGGATTCAAATCCGGAAGATCCTGCGTAGACGCCGTATTTGTACAAGACAAATCACAGAAAAGGCCATCGATTACAATAAACCAGCATATCTATGTTTTATAGACCTGACAAAGGCTTTCGATCGCATCCAAATCGAAGACGTCTTACACCTACAGTATAAATGAAACATACCAATCTATATTATACAAACCATTGAAAATATCTACTTACATAATCAAATACAGGCAAAGATAAATGAAACACAATATATAGCAGTACAAAGCGGAGTCAGACAGGGTGACTTCTATTTAATATAATAATGGACGAAATCATACAAGCAGTACGTAAAGGTCATGAGTAGATAAGACCTCACTTCAGCCCACTTTTTTTCCCAGATTCTGGGGAAAAACCGCTCGCGCCTTATGGACAGTATGGTAAATTTCCCCAGACACCTGACCCAGATTTCCCCAGATTTCGCCTGCGGGACTTACGTGAAGGTAGCGTCAACTCTTCTTCTTCTCTTTGTTAATTCTTCTTCTTTTTCGTCTGTCAATTCTTCTTCTTGTACGCAACGTGAAGATAGCGTCAATTCTTCCCCAATAGTTCCCCATTCTGGTTACAGAATGCAAAGATGGTGCAATAATTTAAACAATTTAGGAGGCTAATATTGAAGAAGAAACAGGCTTTAAAGCCTACATAAAAGAAGGAAGAAGAAAAAAAAAACAATTCATCGTTATCAATTGATTTATAAATAAAGTTAAAATTTCTTGACGGTATCTTTCAGCATTTGGAATCATCATTTCCTCATATTCTGAGAATTTGTTTATCCAGAAAGATAAAATCATCGTTATTATTAAGATTGTTCAGAAACCAATTATAGAAGACTAGCCTTTAGGGATAGTCTTGGGGGATAGGAAGACTTGTAAGTGATACGAATGAAAATGTAAATATTGCTTAAAAATACGCTGGCAAGTTCCATATGAGAAAGGTTCCTGTTGATATTAATGGCGAATCGATATATGTAGTTGATCTACAATAACTATTCTGACCAGTTTAATCACTTCTTCAGTACGCACTTTAGACCTACCCGCTACTGGCTTGTCAGTTGAGCTTCCTGTTTCTCTATAAACATGTACAACATAAACAGTTTTGCAAAATGCGTCATAATGAACCACAACATTGGGAAATTATTCAACAAAATCTTCAAAAGCATCTCGGTTGGAGTAAACCCATTCTCCGTTAATTTTTTGGATCTTTGGCCAGGTCTAAAATACATTTCGAGCATAGATCGTTTTTGTTCATCAGTGAAAACCATTTTTAATAATGATTTTGTATAAAAAAAAATCAAAATTAAAGCACTAGCAAAGCAACCGATCCTATGTTGCTATATAGGTTATATATTCATTGAAGCAACAAGCGAATACTTTAACTATATATTACTTAGAAAAAATATTAAAGAGAAAATCACTATTTATCAAACATTACAATGTTTTAGGTGTGCTGCTCCTATTGAGATGGAAAAGACTTCTTTCCATCACCTTTTTGTTCGTCAAAGCCAGATGAGATGTTTAGACACTTATGGACATAGACCAGAAAAGGACGGTCTTCTACTTGTAGGAGTCTTAACAGGTAAATTTAAGTTTTTGTTTTAAAATTATGATTTTTGGGATATATATCAGACAAGTGAAGCTGATCCAAACTTTTCTAAAAGATCTGTTTTATATATACTAAAAAAAGAAATATCATATTAAATATTAATTGGGGTGATCCAGATCGCCAAATACAGTTCTGCTTATGTAATCAGATTACACTATATAATCAACATCCACATTTGAGAGCTTTCGGTTTCCTTTGGCTGTGGACTTATATCCATATTTCATTCATCAATTTTTTTTTATTAAGCAACCTTCTATGTACATGGAACAGTGAGTTGGTAAAACAGTGATATTGAAAAAAAAGTAAACGTATGGGCCAAATATAATTATTATAGGCCCTTTTTTCGTCGATGGGCCTCTTGATGGGCAAAGATATCTAAATTTTTTACAAAAAAAAACATATCCGCCCTTGCAGACATTGTTCAAATTGAAATTGATCGTAATTTACCAAAGGAAATCATATATGGTTTCAGCAAGATGGTACATCCTCTCGCTTTACACTTCCTGTTCGTAATTTTTTAAATGTATGTTTTCCTAGAAGATGGATTGAATAATAGAGTGGCCTCCAAGGTCTACAGATTTTACACCTCTTTATTTTTTCCTACGAGTTACTTAAAATCAAAAGTTTACATCTATGGACCACAAAAATTACATTTTGAAAATAGAGTTAGATTGGAAATTCATAATACATCAGAAATGATCCAGAATATTGAAAAATATTGTCCTCGTCGGTTTAATCACTGCCAAGAGGCAGGTTGGTGACAATTTGAACATTTATTTTAAATGAAGAATACTTTAATCTTAAATGAAGAATACACTAAAATGTATTTTGTTTTAAATAAATACATACATGATTTTTGTTGTGTAAATTAATGTAATTCAAAAAGTAAACAGTGATTGGGCACCCTGTATAAATAATTATATTATTTATATTACAGAATAAAGAATTGAATAACCGTGCAAATCAGCTAGCACACGATTCCTATTCATATTTAAAAAATTATCGATTACAATATTACGTCCAGATGATTAACGTCACTAGAATGATATATATATATGTACCAAAAAATTATAATTTAAAAATTAATAAACTAGAAGCTAAATACTACGGCGTTGAACAACAAATTAGTCAAACCTTTCGTGTTTGAATTGATATCATTAGAGCGATATAACTGTTATTTCGGTGTAGTCCCCACCTCTTCAGTCGACTCAGGCTAATACAAATTCAAACTCGGAAGGTTGTGTTAACCAGTGACCTGGGAACTATTTTGGAGACATTGGTTGAACCTTCCGAGGTTGAATTTGTATCAGCAAGAGTCGACTAAAGAGGTGGGGACTACACCTCAATAACAATTACACCGAAATGACTAATTTGTGCTCCAACGTCATAATATTTGGCTTTTAAATATAGATATGTTTGTGTGTGTATGTGTGTGTGTTTATACATGTTATTGTGAACATGTATAAACAACAACAGGAAGAATCAGTTCTTTGGATGTTATAGTTCCTAATTTTAAGTAATATTGAACATATTTATTTAACAAAAAATTGAAAATACAATTCCTCCTCTACTGTCGTAAGGCTTTCCCCTTATTTATCAAATTCTCGTTTTGTTCCAAAGATAACGGTACGGAAGAGACCAGGAAAGCACCAGACGCATTACCAGAATCAGATGAACCACTCAAATTAATTTTATACCATGAGCAAGCAAGTGATGATGATTATGTTGATATGAATGATATTTATGTTGAACGCACGAACGCCTATTACAACTTACTTGTGGATTTACTGTAGGTAAGGAAGTCCAATTTTTTATTGTTACATTTAAAAGAAATGTGATGTAAGAAGGATGATATTAATAGTATAATTAAAATGCATAAAAAAGAGTATTACATATCACGTTGGAAGCAGAATTTTGATTTTTCCTATCAGGAACTTTTAAGGAAGATGTGTAATAATAACTAAAGTATCACAAACCGATTTACTATATGCGAAAGGATACTTATAATGGCAAATATCTGAAATTTAAGCATTATTAAGGCAACGATTTATACAATCAAGAATCTACATTTTGAATTTTTTTTATATTAAATTTTATTTTGGAATGTTTATCTATTGGAGTATCAAAACATTCAAAAAAGTGTTTATTCTTTGTTGACTTGATAAAATTTGTATTGCTACTTCGATAAATCTTCCTCTGATTCTGCTAATGCTATTGAGTGTCTAATAAATGGTGTTTCCATAACATAGTACGTTTAATATTTTTGTTAACGAGTTGATATTTTTTAATTTATTTATAATAAGTAAATATAACCATTGAAAAGGAAAAGAATGAAATAAATGTCATGCAAAACAAAAATAAAGAAAGATAGAAAGCGCAAGAACTACAAAAGAAAGAGATAAAGTGAAAGTAATGTATGAGAAAATATACTCCGATCATGAAATATGACGCTAGGGTAGCATCAAACAAAGGTTGGTTGTAGAGACCAAAACAAAAATCTAAGCACCCGCATCAATAGGAAACACATGGCGACGAACAATGCGAAGAAAAAGATTACGAACTATGGAAATAAAATAAAACAAGAGAGGAACAAAAAAGAAAAGTGGAAAAAGGACAAGATACAGTTAAAAATATTTAATAAAGGTTCGCTAAAGGAACTAATAAATGAGACAAAGAAGTATAAAATCGAGTTATTGGCTCTGTAAGAGACAAAACAATTAGGGTCGGATATGACTGAAATAGAAAATATGGTGCTCTTTAAAAGTGGAGAAAAGACAGAACGCTCGAAACTAGTTTTATGGTAGCTAAATGTATCAAGGATAAAGTGATAACTTTATCCTTGATACATTTAGCTTTACTTTACATAAGTCTCTGATAGGATGCGTTCAGTAAGGAAAATTAGCGCAGCAAACTCGTAACGACTGGCGATGAACAGAAACAACTGACGAAATAGACTAAGGAAGGTTGAGGCTCCTATATACTAGGACTATAGCACCACTGATGATGATGATGATGATGATGACAATAGGATGTGTTCAATACGAATTAAAAGTAATAACAGAAACTGGAGTTTAATCAATATTCATGCACCGTCAGAAGACAAGGACGACAAAATAAAAGATCTTTACTATAAATAGCAAAAAAACGAATACGAACGCTTACCTAAACGACATTTGAAGGTAATAGTGGATGAGTGTAATACTTGAGTGAGAAAAGAACCTCTGTACACTGCAGTAACTAATGACCATAGTAAACATGATCATTATCAAAAGATAATGGTCAAAGACTTGGTTGGATGCGATGGAGAAAAATATGGTGACCAGAAGCACACATCCAGAACAAAAAGAGATATACAATCTCCCCAAATGGAAGGACAGTGAACCAGATACATCAGAACCAGACTGAAAGAATGTCATAAATGCCATTCAAAAGGTAAGAAGTCTGAGAGGAGCTGAAATCGATTCGGACCATTACCCCAATAAAGACACAAGTGAGAGGAGGCAGGAAATAAAATTGAAAACGAATAATAAAAGGAAAGGGAAAGTGCAATATTAAAAAACTTAAGGAAGAATGGATAAAAAATAAATATGAAGAAGAAATAAATAAAATTCTCCAACAAAGTGACTAAAATTTACAGAGCAAACCTGGAATAAATTAAATCTGCCGTAGGAGAAGCCAGCTAGAAAATAGTTAAGGGTGACTTCAAAAGAAGTATAAACAAAGATTAGTTTGACGAAAAGTCTCAGGCGGTAGCAGAGGAAAAGAAAAAGATCAGACATCAATAAAAACAAAAATATAGAATAATGCGAGTGAAAAAATCACGAAATTTCCAATGAGTGAGTGCTCGATTGCATCCATTGATAATGTTTCTTATTTTAACAGAAACTTTCATGGCAACTGTTTAACTTAAGGATTTTCCACACAAGGCCTCTTGGTGAACAATGCAGTTATAACAGGGCAGATGATATTATTTTATTTTAAGAGTGCAACAAACCCAGGTTTATTTCTTACCATTGGCTTCGTCGATTTGTAGGAACATTTATCGAACCCTCCATAGTCAGATACGGCTTTTTGTATTCAGTTGTTTTTGTCAAAAATGTCAGTTTCCATGGTTATTTCATGTAATGGCATTAACCATTTAACCATATTTCTGCTATAGTGAAGTCGTCTTAAATAGTTTGAACAAAAATTATACGTTGAGTAACTATCTATCTATCTAATATACACTATAATACTAACACAGTGTATACCAATACAAGCGGAGTCAGACAAGGTGACTATTTAAGCCCACATCTTCAATACCACAGCCAAGAAATACAGTATGATAATATCAGCATAAAAAACCAAATGTATAACATTTAAATACTCACTACGATGTAAAATCGAAATTGATGGGAAAATAATCAAGTAGGAAGATATGTGAAAATAGATATAACCAGTTACGGAGATGTTGAAGAAGAAGTACGACAACAAAGCTTAAAAGCAAGTAAAGTGGCGGGATCTCTTAATGACACAATCTGAAAGAACAAACACCTAAGACAAGATACAAAAACAAGAATCTATAAAGCAGCAATTAGATTTATATTAACATACACGGCGAAGACAAGACCTGATACATCTAAAATGAGACGACTGCTACAAGCAACAGAGATGAAAATACTCCGACGAATATCAGGGTAAAGTCTGTTGTATAAAGTGAGAAGCGAAAACATAAGAAGAGCATGCAATATAGAAGACATAAATTGATGGGCGACAAAATGGAAACAGGAGGATTGGAACGAACATATTAGTTGAATGGAAGAGAATACTATAGTACCAATAACATGAGATAAGTCACCAAATGATCGAAGAAGTATTGGCAGACCAAGAAAAAGATGGTGCCATTATTTAAACAATTTAGGAGGCTAATATTGAAGAAGAAACAGGCTTTAAAGCCTACATACAAGAAGGAAGAAGAAGAAATAATTTTTTATTGTTACCAATACTTAAGGGAAGAAAATTTTCTGCCTAACAGTTTATTTAAAATAAAATCTTTTTTGACTATTATTGTCAATGATACAGTATTGTCCATTGATATTTATTATTTTTTTCAGGTATTTTAGTCGCAATTCCTGCAGTTCTTCTAATGATACTTGCTTACCAGAAAAAATGGTTTAGCTTTCAAGGTATTTTTGACAAATCTCCGGCTTCATATTCAAGAAGATTCTATGCTGACACTGCTGCAGATGATTTTTGAAAACTATATTAAAAGTGTGCTTTTTGTTATACATTTTTTAGGTTGTTTTTAAGTTAATTAAATCTTATAGAATGTAAGCCATACATAATAGAAAACATTTTTTAAAAAATGTATGTAAAAAATATGATTTTGTTTATTAGTATACTTTATTTACATTCTTATTTTAATATTATAGCTATAAAACATTTTTAATAAAAGAATTTCTTTTTTTTTATTAAATTTGCAAATTTACAATCTTCTATTATAAGCTGTTAATAAATGTATTACAAATACATGAGAAGAGAAATTATCCACTGAGAACATTACCAAAACTAACACTAACAAATTAAATTAATGTAGGATTATCATTTGAAACTAAAATTGAAATGAAAATTAAAATTAAAATTGAAATTAGTGAATAAAGTCTGTTTGCCACTGTCTCTTCAATCTTCGTCTGACTTCTGGTGGGAGCGTTGGAGGTGTAGTTGTCTTACTTCCTCGTTGGAGTGGGCTGGCAGATGTTCTAAATTATTTCTTGTTAGTCAACTGATTTCGTCTTCAACCAACGGTATACCAGAGTCATTATGTAGTGCTTTGTTACTAATGTACCACGACGCGTTGAAAATCATTTGAGTATTGTTACTTGGATTCTCTGAATGATTTTGGTATTAGAAGGTTTTGCACAGTCCCATAGTTGCACTCCATATGTCTATATAGGCTTTATTATGCACTTACACAAGAGAAGTTTATTATCTGTAGATAACTGGCTTTCTGATGCTAATTGGGGGGGGGGGGGCTCACCATCAATGGATATTATTCCGGTGTCATCTGCGAACATGGCTACAATGTCGTATTTGTTGTTAGGATATCAGCAGTGTATATGAGATACAGGAGGGAACCCAGGACACCGGATTTAATGGGATAGTAATAAGAGGTTTCGGCAGAAGTATAGAGAAAGTGCCGATGAAGTTAGCTACAAATTATTGACAGATTTGTATTTGGCAGTGTTGCCATATCACAAATAAATCATGCGATATAATATTAATTAATGTTACTAAACATTCTTTTTAAGTTTTTAAAAGAAGTTTAAATAATTTAAATTTAATTTATTATAATTTAAATTAACTTTGATTAATTACTATTTATAACTGGGAATAAGCCACAATTAAAGATAAAAAATACGTTTATTGACGTTTCAATTTCCAATTCGGAAATCGTTCTCAAAATACAAACTTGGTAGTAATTTAATTGTGGCTTATTCCCAGTTATAAATAGTAATTAATTTACAATGCCACAAGAAAATAGCTTCAGAACAATATTAACTTTGATTGTTTAAGCATTTATTCAGGTACCATTTCATTCCAAAATTATAAGAAAATAGTCATAAAATTGAAATCTGCTGAACATCTGTTGCAATCTGACAGCTAGTGTTTTTAAAGTTTTGACAGTATTGCCAAGTTTATTTGCTAATCTACCAAAGGCCAATTATAATTTATTTTTCTAATAACTAACTGCAACTAATATCAAAAGAAACAAATATCCATTCGTTCGTGTTTTATACAAATTCAAAAAATACCCAATTTCATAAAATAATATAATAAAAATGTATTTTCAAAGCACATCTGAGGCATAAAACATATATACATAATAAGGACATGGCAATACCGCAAATACAAATTTGACATGACGTTTATGGCCAACTTCATCGGCACTTTTTCTATACTTTTGCCATCGAGGAAAAAGACAAAAGAGGGAATCTAATCCTTATGAAAAGGAGACCAAAAAAGTGGCCACTGATGGCGGACAAATCCGGAAATGCGAATGCGCCAAATTTAAATTTTCCGACACTTATTAAAAGTAACTATATAATATTTTTCAGAATGTGTCTTAGACGAGAAAGTTTTAATTAATTATTAACGGTAATAGTCTAAAATGCGACACAATTGTTAAAAAACTTCAATATAAATAAGATTTCATGTGACATTTGGGACAAACAATAACATAACCCAACTAAATTTGATGTCAAACAAGGAGTGACACTCTCTTTCCTTGTTTAATGTGGCCTCTAAAGATCGCACTTCCTGTCTAACAATATTTTTGCCCCCACTACCTTTGCATTCCCTCTTTTTTTGTCTTTTTGCTCGATGAGTTTTGCCGAGGTTTCTGTAAGGAATCTGAATGAAAGTGACGTTTTGTGAGGTATGATTTTAAGAGTAGATAATGAGAAGTAGGAAAGGATAACTTAAGTTTATACAGGAGGCCGTCATGCCAAACACAGTCGAAGGCTTGTTCTATATCCAGGAAGGCAGCAGTGCAAATTTTTATCTCTTCGAGGAATACATTAATGTTTTTAACAGTCCTATAACATTGTTGTAGAGTTGAATGGGCTTCGCGGAAACCAAACTGGTGTGTTGGAATCACTGAATTAATTTCGATGTCTTCTGAGATTCTTTGGAGCAGAATTCTTTCTAAAAAACAGCCCCACCTGTATAACAGATATTAGAGTTTCTCTTCATAATTTGAACGATATAAGCTCCCGTACGCTTGTTCAAATTTGAGCTATTCTATACAGAAACTTGCCTAATAAATTATTATTATATTTTCTTATTCCGGAAATGTATTTATTCATTTGATATATAATAAGTGGTTATCCTATTTTAAATGCCCAAAATCAAGGAACAAAAGAACACATTTAATATACCTCCCGCCGGAGTTCTCACCCGGGCAACACCCCTCTCGGTGGGGAAGAAAAACAAAATATGCTACGCAAATATCACAACAAAGCATCTCCGTTCTTATCTTGGGGGTGCCGCTGGCTTTTATGTTCTATTATCTGCTGCCTATTCATTAGCGACATCAAAAAGTAAGTAATTTCATTAAATTCTTTATTTATTTTGTCGACATCAATCTAATAAAGAGGCATTTACGAGTATTTTAAAATTGGCCGCCTCCCTAAGTGAATGCATAGTAGTAATCATTGAAGAACGGAAACATTTTTAAAAATGTAATATTGAAAATAGAGAAATGTAACTTTTACACTAGAAAAACACTAGAGAAACTACAAAAATACACGATTTAAGATCTGGCATCACAAATTTTGTTCTTCGACTCCCCAAAATAGAAATTATTTTTTCCTAAATGCCAATTGGGTCACAAACAAGTTGATCTTAACCCTTCGCCTGTAAAGTGATCGGAAATAAAAATTCCTACCATGTGGAGTTTCATAGAAGCAAAAATGAAAATTAGAATTTTTTTTTTAATATTTATTTGGAAAATTGACAAACACAACCTCTGCCATACATTTGGTTCCGTGTGACATTTGGGCTCTAACAAAATCATAAATATAATGCGGCTCAAACAAGACAAACGATACGGAAACAAAATTTAAAATCAACGAGAACTTACGAAAAATCAAAGAAAATAATGCGAAAACCAGAACTACTAATCAGAAATAGGGAAAAACTTAACATTCCCTTGTGTCAGTTGGAAAAGAAACTCTCAAGTCACTTAGAGAAGAAACAAAACCTTGGATAACAGTAGAAATTTTTGAACTTATGGAAGAAAAAACAACGTAAAAAATAAATAAATACAAAGAGATTCAAGGAAACAGAAAGAAGATTTGATGGACAAAAGATAGGTGACTCTCCGACAGATTCAAGGTCATAGAAGATCTGGATAAAATGATACAATTAATTTACAAAAAAAAAACAAAGAAACAGACAGGTTATTGAAATAGCACAAGAATGAATATCTTTAAAAATGATAAAGGTGATATAATTTCTGATATGAAATAGAGGATGTGTCAATAGACCAATTACATCCAACAACTATCATTAGAAACCACATGGGATACCGTTCCATCAATATTCTTATTCTTCAGTGCCTTACCTGGTCCAGATGTTGGCCATCATCAAGTGCGAAAGTTTCACACCGTAAAGATGGATTTCAGGCCGCGAAGGTGGACGAATTTTTATGAATAATGAAGGCATTGTCTGCCAAAAGAAGTGTTGGGCAAGAAGAGATGCCTGCAGAGATACGTGCCGTAAAAGTCAACCTAAAGGCTAATAAAGTGACTTAAACGAAGAAACTAAACCACTAGAAGAAAGAAAAGATGCATGAGTAGGAAGGGCCTCACTTCACCCCAGTTTGACATTTGATTCCATTTTTTGGTGGAGGCGTGTATTATGTCATGTTAAGTGTACGAGAGATTACCTTAGGTGTACATCAGGTTACGTACGATGTTAAATATGACGTAATTCTAGATAAAATGTGACTCAACGTACATCTGATGTGACCTGACGTACAACTAACGTCACATCTAACGTAATCTGACGTACTGGGATCAAAGGTCAAAGTGGGGTGAAGTGAGGCCCTTTATACTTACTCATTTTATCTCTTACGTTCTGACGAACTAGGGGTCTTATCATAGTTTTGTTGACTGCTCTGCGAAACAGCTTTCGGAGGTCATCCCAAACCATTGTCGGAGGTTTTTCAACCACGAGATACGACGGCATCCCAGTCCTCTACTACCAAATACTTTAATTTGCATAACGAGTTTAGGAATTTGATATTTTTCTTCATTTCGCATCACGTGGCCGACGTACTGAAGCTTACTTTGTTTCACTAAATTAAGCACTTCTTTTTCTTTTGACATGCGCTACAGGACCGTAATCTCGAACGCTTCAATCCGCTTTTCCGTATCTTGCGTCAGTGTCCAGGCTTCAACTCTATATAGTAACACTGGAAGAATGTAGCACCTCACTATCCGCATCTTGGTTCCCAAACTGAGATCACTGCAGTGCAGCAAGGATATCAATTTGATAAATGTAGACCGTGCTATTTCAGTTCTGGATCTAATCTCTTGAGCGTAGTCCCATTGTGAGTTGAGGGTAGTTTCGATTTAAGTGAATCTGTTGACTCTCTGGATCTCTTTTCTACCTGCCATTAGTGCCCCGGGATTTAAATTTGCAGGGCTGACAACCATGAATTTAGTTTTCTTAATATTAAGGTCAAGTCCGTATGTTACGCTCACAGTTCTCACTCGGGTAAGGCTTGTAGATCATTTAGACTGGTTGCTAATAACACAGCATCATCGGCGTAATGGATATTATTGATGTATTCACCATTCACTCGGATTCCCATCTCTGAATGTGTAAGGAATTTAGTAAAAATTTCCTCAGGGCATATATTGAAAACAGTCGGCGAGAGCACATAGCCTTGCTTTACTCCT